CAATTGCGAAGTACTGACACTACAGGGCGCTAAGAGCCAACTGCAAGCAGTCTTAGACAGCACCTTTGTTGTCGCCGTAACTCGACACATTTGTAGGGGCATAAACGAAACTGAGGTTCAGCGTTTCATATTTCACATTCACGTGACAGCTCAGGAATCTCTCTGACATTAGTTCCACTGAAATCACTGCCCAGCTTATCCTAAGGGACACTAGGAAAAGCACACCCTCACGGCGTACTGAGGCCTGGTCACCCATGCTGCAGCTCAAACGTACCCTTTTTTGGGAGACGAGCTTCCGAGACCGCCAGTACCGACGGGCCATACGGCAGACATCATCTAACTTACCTTCATCGCAGAAGCAGCAAACGTTCCAACGTGCAACACCGACCTTACCTCTTGTAGTGGTTGACAGCTAGAATCAAATATGTTGGTTCCTAGTTGACTGGTAAGTTGTGCAACTCATTTCCGCAAAAGCATTAAATTCGCTCCCGCTCGTTAGGAAATCAGTCTGACACCGTCAGGTTCAATCTGAATACGTCAAAGAGGTTCAACTGGATACCCGCTTTCACTCGAGTTATGGACACAGCGCTTCGATTAATAAGCGACAGCGCTGTCATTGTATGCGTAGTCCAAGTATGTGGGCAACCTCACCGGAAATCTTCAACCCCTTTTCTTTTGCAACATCTCTCATTCGTTGCTGTGATGTTCAGTGCTATTTCGTAGAATGTGGTCGTTTCTAGGACAGAATAATCTCACATTTTAGAATCTACACTACATTCTCTTAATATTATCGTATTAGACTTTGGCATGCTGACAACGTAGCGTAATTTAGCAATCTCATGCAACACCGATCCGACTCTGTGCCATTATAACGCCGAATGCAGGTATAGTTCCGTGACCAGCACATACGCCTGTCATTGTCGAGAAGGCTTTAAGGGCGATGGTTACAACAGCTGCGAAAAGGAGCGTAAGTTGCACTGTTATGTTTTAAATAGATATGAGTTTTCTCTAACAATGTTCAACAGAGGTCACGTGCAGAATGCAGAACATCTGTGACCCTAACGCCGGATGCCATCCAACCTCTGATGGTACTACGTACATATGTATATGCAATAGAGGTTACGAAGGAGACGGATTTACGTGCCAACCTATTCACGGTAAGTGGACTAACGATGGAACTTCCATATGTTCACACTCTCCTTCTGTTGTTCCTTCGAAATCGCTGTAGAAAATTTTAAATCCTTGCCTATATTCGTTGACTACCTTTTCGTAGTGTACATTTCCATTTTTGCCCGATTTAAAAAAGACGATTATTATTTGATAATCAAATTAAATAATTAAACGCTAACTTTCTCCTGTGTCAAACGTTGAACGGTATTAGAGATTTTGGGTTTTCGTACTAGAACATAAAGGAACGTCCTTACTAGCCCTAATCTTATATTAACCTTGTCAATTACTCAACTACTCGATTCGCTGAAACTACAGGCAGTGATCTAATACGTAGATTAGTAACTCAGGTAGTGCAACTGAGCGGTACACAAGTGTCACCAAATTTTAGCCCTTAAGGTTACGTTGCAACGCTGAGTTCACAGGAAAAGTTTCAAAAGCTAAGTCTGCTTTATGTTTTAATCAGTTTTGACGATGTTCCCGGTAGCGGCAACAAAGCACGTCAGATGCAAGAAACGTTTATTTTAAAATTTCTCTATTTAAATTTATATGAAGAACAGAATAAGTATGCAACTTTTTGATTCATAGTTTAAGCACAACTTAAATAAATCCCACGAACAACGATGTTTCAGTTGTTTTCATTGACGCGTTTTGTCACTGACAACCGGCCACATGATCACTGTATGTAATATTGTACTAAAGTAAAATTTATACCATCTCTTCCTACCCACTGATATTCTTTGTTATTGGTTTTATTGGTAATAAAACTTGTCCTCGTTACGAGTGCAGTATGAACGCAAGTCAACATTCCTCCTATATTCTTTTC